GCCCGCCGCCCCGCCGGCGGGGCCGCAGCAGACGCGGCGAGGTGCGAGGCCTGCGGCAAGGCCTCGTGTTCGGCACCAGCGGCGGCCTCACGGCCCTGCACCCGCGGGGCGCCCAGGGCGAGGACGGGCCGTGGGAGAGACCCAGCTGCTCCTGTAGACCGGGTCTGTCCTGGCCTGCCCGTCCCGGAGGAGACTGCTAGGCTACCAGGCAGGACAGGAACAGGCCCACAACTGCTTCTTCGGCAGGCACCGTGTGCCCGTTTGCTGGCCGCGCTTCACATACATTGTACGTCGTCATTTAGTGCGGCCCGGCTGTCCGTGGTCGCTAGCATCAAAAAGGAAAGTAGGTGGCTGCCGCTTTGGCAGAGGAGCGGTGGTCCAGGCCCGGACAGAGGACAGAGCTCCCGCTGCTCCCTTTTCCATGTCTTCATGCAGCGTTGCCACAGCTCTGCAACATGCTTCCATAGGCAGAGCACCCTGGGCCTAGAGAAGATCTAGCTGGACGATGTCGGCTGTCTCCGGCACTGCCAGGTGCCTGGCTGGGGTTGGAGAAAATTCATGTCTGCTCCAACCCAAACTTGTTAACGGTCTAAGCACTTGAGCCACATGATAGCTTTGGACTGCCTGTAGATCTACTTAGTTTTGGTTGAAGGTTAAGATAATCAGTCCGACCAACCTACGATGAGGATCTGTTGCAGGTTTTGAAGGAATTTGGACATGAGAAGTACCATTGCAATGCATTCATGTAAATCCATGAATTTTTTTCTCTGAGAAAAAAGCATCAGCAAAGGTGACTGATTTTGTAGGCAAAAGTCAGGCAGCTGTCACTCTTTTTTCTCTGAAGTATGAGAAATTGAATACTTAACAGAAGGTCATAGAGTAACATGGAGTTCCTTTTTTCTCCACCTAAACCTATGTCCCTACCTTTAAAGCAGCTGTTTTCCTTGAAAAGTAGAAATAGTAAAGCACAGAAAGCCAAAGCCATGTTTTCTACTACAGGTGATTCTCTGCTTTAGGTTCATTATTTTTTCCCTTACACATGGTTATTATGATGTTGATCAACATCTTCCCACATCTTTTGATTGTTTTTCAAGAGCAGAAAGGAGGAAAATACATTCTTCCCTGTTTGATTGATGTCTCTGAGGATATATTTGCCAGCGATTAGTTAGATCTGGATCAGATCTGTTAGTATTTCTTTCTGTAGTTTGTGTGATCATTTCCTCAGTATATTCCAATGTACTGTTTAGCTCTGTTTGTAAATTTAAGACCTCATGGCTTGCCTTCGCTAGGATTTCATAGATGGTGGCTTACTGTTGAGCAAATTGTTCCAGTGGAACTGCAGTCAACACTCTCATTGGATTCAGCAGGACCTTGTAGCTATTAGGACCAGGCAGTTACACCTTGTTGCTAATATTCATAAATACACATTCTTTGAATATGACATTAAATATCTTGCATCAATTAGCCCTTCTTATTCATTGGTTCAATAATTACGCAAGTTAGCTCTCATCCTATATCTGAAGGGTTTAAAGTATGCTTAATCGCAAATATCCGCTTTATAGAAGCAAGTAGCAATCAATGGGTCACAAAACCCGAACCTAATGCAACCCCAGTTTGTTTTTCTGAAGAGGGTAAATTAAAAATCTCTTTTCTGGTCTTTTTTCAGATAATTTTACTATTGTTTTCACTGTCATATTTTTTGCTATAGATGATGGACAGAAAATTCACGCTACAAAGTAAAAACCATACTGTCATGTACTTACTTCCAACTTGTCTCGCTTGACGGTGTTTTATACACAGGCACCAAAGCCACTAGGAATCAGTTGATCTGATAAATACATTGTTGTCCCCAAGTATTTTTTTGTAAAGCTGCATTATATTGCATAACCTAACAAAAATGTTGTGAAAATTGTACTATACATAAAAATAGCCTCTGGAAAAGGAGGGATGCCTCCCCAGAGGCATTTTTTTCTGTGATTATAGTTCTCTTTACTGAGGCCACTGTGTTAGATGGCAATTATAGCTAGTGTGAGAGTGTTTGAACATCGGTTGTGTCATGAAGCATTAAAACATGTTTCATTATGAACTCCAGACTGCAAAGTTTTGCTGAATACCTCAAAAAATCCTCAGTGGGACTTCACTCCCCATCCCCCTGCAAAAAAACCACCCCACCGCCCCCTCCCCCAAAAAAAAAAAAAGAAAAAGAAAAACCCAAAAAAACCCCAAATCTCCTGCCATGCCATATTCTGTTCCTTTCTGACACAGCCAGGCAGTTAAGTATACCAGATACCAGGGGAGTGGAGAGACCACTGAGGGGCTGGCAGCAGTGTGGGAGTTTTATTCAATGTACCTGCTGTATGTGATCTATATGTTGCTGGTAGCTGGGCTTGCTTCTGAACTCTGTGGGAGGCCAGATAGCTTGCCTGTCTGTACACACCACAGGGAAAGTTTTTATCTCCTCTTGGCACAGGCAGAAATGTGCTCCATTTCATCACTATTGTCACACCAGTGCTTCTTGTTCCAGACATACATGCCCCTCCACCCCCTTATTACCTCTCTCCTATGACAAAAGTCAGTATTTGTCTGACTGCTCAAAATGCAAATTTCCATGGGTCTCTCTCTCTTTCCTTTAGTTATTGATATTAATCCCTGAATCCCTCCTCTATTGTTAATCCCAAATGATAGCAATCCAGAATCTGACCTCAGTGGCTGTTCTCGCTTCCCTCCTATTTGATCTAATTGCCTCTTGTTTTGCTGGTTTGCACACCTAGTCCTGAAATTATTCTTTCCTTTCTAGTTCTTTCTCAGCCTGAAAATCCCTCTGGCTAACCAGCTCTGGCAGCCTTTTTACTGTGCTGTCCTTCGCTTCATGTCAGCTTTCTAGCACTCCTGTATGTTTAGCAGATCAGTGCTCCAGAGATGTGTTAGGCACCCCAGGGTCATAATTAAGGAGGAAACCACATAGGATATATAAATTCAAAGAAAGTGGCAGCTCAGCGTCTTCCAGGAAGAAGTCCTGCAAGCAGATGTGCTGGCCTCTGAAGATATTCCAGAACACAAACTATTTTAAGAATAAACTGGGAATATATGTTCATCAGCCTTTGGAGAGGGAGAGTCTGGGCTATAATAGATGAAAGAAAGGAAACCTTCAAAGAGTGGAGGTTGTGTCAGGGAGTTGTTTAGAGGTTGCCTTAGAAAGATGGATAGTTTTGGAATTCAAAGGAGTATTTAGATTTCCTTAGTTTCAAGCATAACTGTTTTTTCTGGTTTTTATAAACAGTGCAGCTAGGTCACTTGACACCAGCCACCATACGATCCAATTTGCTGGTACACAGTTCTTTGATCTGCAGTTTTCCATGCTTCAGGCTTGCCTCTGATTTTATGTATATTAAGTTCAAATGCTTTTGAATAGAATTAAGTTTTGGGGGGTTTTATTTGTTTTTTAATGAAACACTGATTTTACATATGATCAATTATATTGGCAGGGTTTTTTTCCTCACAAATACCTGTCTCTTTATCCTTTGAAACAGCGTATGTATTTTGAGCACTTCGCTGTTCTCATGAAAAGCCATCTATGTAGGTCTGAATTTTGAGTGAGTTTTCACCTGTACCTTAGACATTTTTTTTTTACATTCAGCAGCCAATACGTTGAGATTGCTCACCCCCATCACTGGGATACCTCACTTTGTTCCTAGTGTGTAGACTATAAGGTCTGTACACCTAACCCTATGTGCAGTCCACAGCAAACTTCTTACTACTCTTCCTACTTCTTGTTGGTCACTATGGGAGTGAACATGCTGATTGACAGCAGAGTTTAATGAACTTTCTGGGAATGCTGAGGAGGAAAGCCTTTTGTCCTCAATGTAGAGGAGATAAGGGACAGGACAGGTAAAAGTACTGAGCTGGGATAAAGAAGTTGGGGTGGCACAAAGGAATGAACAGAAGGAAATTGGGGTGGGTATATGACCTCTGTCAGGATGTGCTCCAGCCCAAGACTCAAATTTTCCCTGAGCTCAGTGTCAGAAGCTCAGTGATTCATGTGAGGAATCAAAGGCAATGATTCTTTATTTCTTGTCTGTTGGTAGTAGTACTGGTACTGCTAGTACCAGTACTACTGGTAGTGCTGCTAGTACCACTAGTATTGGTAAATGGTACTGCTAAGCAGTAGCATTTATGTCTGGATCTAGGAATAGGTATGTGTCTAGGCTTTTCCTGATCACTGATTATTTGGGCTGATACTGCCTTATTCATGTAGTATATGGATTTCCTTTTGGTTTTATGAATAAGGCTACACTGTCTATTCTTACCCTGTGAACAGAAAATCACTCTTACCTTTACGTCTTTTGTTGAGTTTATTGTAATTTTTTGAAAGAGTGTCCCCCACCACCATTGTAGTTATGGCCATACTAGCAGGCATAACTTGAAAAGATGCTACTGTTCGTTAAACTGTCTGAAGAGACTTCTTCTTGTACTGACACTGTGCCAGCATACTTACTAGCCATTTTCCCATTTGTGCAAATGCATCTGTTTGGGCTTTAATCTAAACTGTCATTATTTTTATTTTTTTTATGTTTATTTTTTTTTTTTATTTTTGGTGGGGTTTTTTTGTTTATTTTTTGGT